TTCCTGAGCCCAGTGTGAGAGTGAGTGTGTGTGAGCTAAGTATAGCCTCCCGCCTCCCAGACTGGGAACAATGGGGGCTCCCACCTGCCGGAGCGCCAGATGGCCTTGCCCAGTGTGTTTGCCGGGGGGGGGGGTGTGCTCACGCTGGGATTGCGGCCATCGCAGGGGGGTCCCAGGACGGGCGGGCAGCCTCCTGACCCCACGCCAGCCCGGCCCCGAATAGCCATGACGAAACGCCAGAGGCACGAAGCAGAACGGCAGGAAGCGCGCGGTCTGGCGCGGTGTCGCCTGGGCTGGACGGGCGCACATACCTCCTGGAGCCGCTGCATGGACGCGCGGCTCGGCCCAGATAGGGAACGCCGTGCCCCCTCTCTGTCCACCTCTCCATCCTCTCCCCTTGCTGACCTCCCCTCTCCCCTTGCGAGGGCTCAGTGTGGTGCACAAAGGGGCAGTAAGGTGCAGTAAAACACTGAAATCAGGCTCAGAGGGGGATGGAGCCGATTGGCAGCATTGCAAAGTCCAGAATTGGACATTCACTGTGGATCACTCCATTTCTCTCACATACTCTTTCCGTCCTCACCCTGTCCCCGTGTCCTTGCTCATTCTCTGTCTCCTCTCACCCCTCTCCTGCCTCCCCCCCCTCTCCCGCCTGTTAGCGTGGAAGACAGGCCCCAGTGCCGCACGGGCTGCCATGTGTCTCCTCTCAGTCCCGCTGTAGAGACTTTGTTTGAAAGATGCGCAAACAGCGATCCAGTCCTCCTGCTTAATCTCTTTCTCAGTCCCTTCCTTCCTTTTTACCAGCACACACAAACACACGCATGCTGACACGCTGCTATTTTTGGGAAGTGCACAATTCCGGTTTATGGATTTATGAACCTGCGCGAGCCTCCTGAAGAATGGTAAAAGGAAGAGGGGGTAAAACAGAGGTCCCTTTCAGTTTCTCCTCTGTCACTGTTCGTTTCTGGGGTCTCACGTGGATTCGGGGCTGTTAAATGAGGCCTCCTAAACGTTGTGTCCAGCCTTCTGCATGAGCACCTGTGTCAGATCTGAGCTGTCCAGCACAGGTGTGCAGAGCCAGTCTGCAGCACAGGACCTGGGGGGCGTTTCCTGTTTAATTAAAGTGATTATTGATTGAGTCCGTTAAGATGATATATATTGCATTGTCCTCTGATGGAAGACATCCGATAAAAACCTAAAGGATTATAATCAGTGTTGACTAGTATAAAGGTTAAACATTCCTGTTACAATAATGGGCTGTACTAACTGTACAGTACAGTACTACTGTAATTTAAGTCTATGGAATAGTCCATGGGCTATGGAATAGCGCTGTCAGGTGTGTGTGGGCTTCAGTAATGTCTCGTCGCAGTAGGTGAGCCATTGCTGTGGTCAGCAGGTGTTGAGGTCTTCCTTCAGAAAGGACCCAAGGGGCGAAACCCGAGACAATAGCCCCGAGCTGTCAGGAAATCCCCTTCTAAGGTTATTTATTCTTATACCGAAACACACCAGAAGAGAAGGCCCTGCAGTGTCTGTTGTGAATCAGACTGTTTTTCAGTAGATGGCCACTCCCAGCTGTGGGTTACTGCTTTCAGCCAAACTGCAAGACTTAAGTGAGCGTTTTTAAAAGTTTAAAAGTTGTCTGTCCAGGCATTTCTTCCCTCCCTCCTCCTTCACTCGCCCCTTTCGCCATCTGTCTCTCCCTCCCTCCATCGCTCTCTCCCCCTCTCCCTGAGACGGGACAGTCCTCACAGACACTCTGGTCTCTGTCGGGGAACAGCCTGAAGTCTTTCACACGAGAAAACGGCTCGATCGCGGGGCCGGAGCTGAGCTCGGGAGATATCTGCAGGGCAGCAAAGCGTGTAGCTCGTTCATCTCACTTGGAGAGCTGTTGCCTCCTGTGATGTTTTAACAGCCCCTTTCCCTGATTGCAGTCAGGAGATTTTGGTGTTTGTAACTCATTTGCCCACAGGCTGGGCTCTCCCCCCACTGGTGTCGGTTTCTGTAGGTGTGGCTGCCCTCTCACCTGTTCACGCTGGACCTGAGACTCGGTCAGCCGGAGATAACGTTTTGAGCGAGCTCTTCCGCCGAGATCTGCAAAGACTCATAACGAGAAGCCGTTCTGGGAAAGCGCAGCGTGTCCGAGAGCACTCAGAGCAGCCGAGGAGCGAGGCGCAGAGGGATGAAGGAGTTAGATCAGTTTCCCGCTGAGCAAGCCACAGCTGGAGCGCTCTCGCAGGGAGAGCTGGGATAGCGGGGACATAGCATGGGCCCGGGCGCGGGGCAGGACTGGAGGGTTCCGTGGGAAGGGGAACCAACGTTGTCCAAAAGATTCTGTATTGTTTTTCTAACAGTCTTTGTGAGCCTCGTTGCACATCAAAGTTTGCAAACCCGAATGAGGTAGCCGGGCACGATCCTGTTGCCCCAGCATGGCGTCAGTTCTCTGAAACAGTGGAACACGCAGTAGAGGGCACAGGAGCTGCACTGGATCAGGAGCCACTTCTTGACTCAAAGGGCTGTCCGAGTGTGGAAGAAGCTTGTTGCTCTTGTTGTCAAAGCCAGTACCTTTTGCTTCTTTTCACAAGCCACTGGTGAGGTCCTCAGATCAATTAGCCGTTAGCAACTAAATGAGGTGGATGCGCCAAATGGTGTCTGATATATGTATATTGCAGTCATGCGAGTGCGTTTTCTGTGGGTCTGAAGATCGCCCAATTGACTTGCCAGAAGCCACACTGTTCGACGCCCGTGTGACGCATGAATGTCTTGCAGGAGTTGCTGCAGACCTGCCGGCAGCTGGAGATCGAGATCACGCCCCTCTTCCTCGTCCCCGACACCAACGGCTTCATCGATCACCTGGACGGACTGGCATGCCTGATGGCTTGTGGCAGCTACATCCTGGTGGTGCCCCTCATCGGTGAGGACACGGGTCATCCAACTGTTCCTTGTCTGCGCTGCCCCCTAGTCAAACACACATGCGGAGCTGCGCGTGCACAGGCGAGCACAGTTCTGCTGCACAGAGCCGCCCTTATCCGTAGCTGGTTTGCTGCTGTTGTGCAGGCCTCTCCAGTATTCGCCGAGAGGAGCGAGGGCCTGTGTGCTTCAGTGTGGCAGGGAGTGTGGGAGAAGGCAGTGCTGGCAGTCTGTGCTCATGGCTCTCAGGGCTGGTAAACCTGTGCCAACATGGCTGAGCTGTGGGTGGTCTGGCAGGCAGCACTGAGCCTGGAGGGATGGAGAAAGAGAAGGGCAGAGGAGAGGAAGCAGGGAGGAGAGGAGGAGGCTGAGGTGGGACAGAGCTGGGGGGAAAGGCTCCTGGCCACACTGCAGAAACACAGAGCTTGGAGTAACGAGCAGCGACACTGCACAGCCAAGTCACGCCCCTCTGAACGCTGCCCTGCAATTAGCGCAATCCTCCGTTGAAGATGTTTAAAAATAAAAGGCTTTTATCAGTTGGCAGTGTGGGAGCCAGGGCTGCACTGCAGCTCAGCCTGGCCTCCGTGTCAGATTCCCAGGGACCATGTGACCTGGCCCTGCCCGGACCCTGTGCCAGCTCGGCGGGGGGGGTATAGGTTACAGCACGGTCTCGGGTGTGGTGGGTTATTTCAGGTGGGCTTGCTGGGCCTGTGACACTGGAGCAGGGCGACACAGTAACCCTACACTGTGTTTATACCCCTGCCCTGAGAGGGGGGCGTGGAGCAGAGAAGCGTGACAATAATATGAGAAAAGGAGGAGATGCCATCGCTGAGCAGGGCGTCTGGATGATGTCTGAACAGCGCAGGCTGAGAGCTTCCCCACCCACCTTCCTTTGAGCAACGAGAGGGGGATCCTGGGAATGCACAGGGTAATAGCCAGGGAATATTTGGAAATCTGGGGATTTTAGGGAAGTAGAGATTTTTTTTTTGTTCACGGGTCAGAGTGGCATTCACTACCCCAAGTGTTAAATCTTGCTCCTTTTATTTCAAATCGTTTTTTTTTTAAAGAAAAATTGATTACTGAAAGGAAGTAAACCCTGTTATGCCTTCAGAGTAACGCAAAACTGATTAAAACAAAAATGTTTAGAAAGTTCTGCTTGAAGGGCCTTAGCTCATGTACAGTAGAAATACTGTATGTCCTGCCGTTGCCACGGTCACTGGTGTACGTGCTCTGGGGGAGTGGCACTGGCACTGTTTGCTCCAGTTGGGATGGCAGTGCAGCAGCTTGCCTGCCAAGCCAGCACGCAGGTGAGCTCACACTTGTCAGAGTGCAGCCCAAGAAGGATCACGGCGGACAGGAGGCCCCTTGGCCCATCCTGGATCATCCGCTGGTCAGTCACAGAATTGCCTCCAGCCGTTGTCCAGAATCCCTTCGCGCTCCGTGTCTTTAACCCTGCTCCCTCAGCTTGCTGCCTCAGGATTCGAGCGCAGGGGGAGGAGGTGAGCATGGGACCGGAGCACAAAACATTACACTTAATTTGTTTATAGTAAAACAAAACAGAGGAAGGCCTGGCTTTCTAATGGGCCAGCTGCGATGGCTGCTATTGTACAGATACAGACGGAGTCCTTGCAAACACACTCCCTGCTTGTCATACCCACTCTTGGGTATATGAAATACCACGCAGTTACTCATGCGCAGACAGGACAGCCCACTCGCAGATGCAGATAGAGATACAGAAACACATGTGCTGTCTAAACACAGACGTACACAAATATGCTGTCTGCGCACAGACGTGTTGTAAGGACCGACTTGGGCAATGAGCAGAATCGGGAGCTCAGACACGAAGACAAAACACTCATTGTGTTGTGCATCGTTGTGCCCAGTCTACTGTCATTACTATTTTCGGCAGTCTGGCCGGAGGTTCAGGACAATGGCCATTGTGTTTGTCTGGGTCAGATCACCTGCTCTGGCAGGAATCGGCCCTGTCTGTCCTTCTCCAGCCCCCCCATCTCTCTCCTGACTCTCCCTTCTCCGCCCCGCTGTCCCGCAGTGATCACGGAGCTGGACGGGCTGGCGCGGGGCCAGGACACGGAGCGCCGCAGCGGCAGCCACGCGCGGCAGGTGCAGGAGCGCGCGCGGGCCGCCATCTCCTTCCTGGAGCGCGCCTTCGTGGCGAGAGAGCCCTGTCTGCGCGCGCTAACCAGCCGCGGCAACGAGCTGGAGTCCATCGCCTTCCGGAGCGAGGACACCTCCGGACAGCAGGTACCCCGCCACCGGGGGGCGCCGCTAGACAGCAAGGAGGGCAAGATGGGGACGGGCATTCGGAGATCAGGGGTATCGCACTTCCTTGGAAACCCGCAACTCCAAGTGGATCTGCAGGCATTGGAAGCTTATAGCAGAAGGGAAGGAAAATCATTGCAGTTCTTAGAAATTAAATTCTTGGAAGTAAATATAGATCAGATCACTTTCTTGGCCATAAGCAATTTCTTGCATCAGGGACTTGTCTTCTTGCACACCCCAGCTTGCTCTCCATGAGACACACAGACAGGGAGAGAAGCTTGGGGTCAGAGCGCAGGGTCAGCCATTTATACGGCGCCCCTGGAGCAGTTGGGGTTAAGGGCCTTGCTCAGGGGCCCAACGGAGTAGGATTCCTCTGCCGGCCACGGGATTCGAACTGGCAACCTTCCAGCCACAGGTGCAGATCCTTAGCCACAGAGCCACCGCATCCACCCCATGCGGAGTTTGGACCTAAATATTCAGGTGAATGGGGGACAGACTGGTATGCCTCTCTGATTCACAACATATAAACACTGAATCTCACAGCAGACTGGAATCTCGGACATGGTTTAGCCTACAACTCCAAAAAAAAAGTGAAAGATTGTAAAAAAAAAAATGGGATACCTTCATAACGTGCATAGATTCCTATAGCAGAACTGCACACAGAGCTAACAGATAGTTATCCTGTACTTCCTGCACAGGGGTCTCTGAGGCCCCATGGTCTGCTCTGCAGCATTTAAGCTCTGCAGTCGTTTGGCAGTCCCAAAGCTGTGTGCTGCGTGTGTGAAGAATTGGCTGCCATGCTTAGATATGTGAGAAGAGCAAACTCCTGAGGTTGAAAAATCATGCTGCCTGCAGGGTCTCCTGAATTCATGTGCTGAAAGGTTTACATGACGCTGGGCAGCTTTGCGCATTGCTTTCTGCTGAGGCATTTCCACAGGAGCAAACTCGTGCGGTGCGAGTCTGACCCGTGTCACCTGTCATTTGACCTGGCTGCCCGTGTGTCTGCAGGGGAACAACGATGACCTGATCCTGTCCTGCTGTCTGCACTACTGCAAGGACAAGGCCAAGGACTTCATGCCCACTCAGAAAGGTAATGCCACACTGCACTCGGAAAGCAGCCTGTACACCCAGCGGACATGTCCATATGCACCTCGTGGTGCTTTGCTTTCATTAAAACGTCTTTTTTTTTCCTTTCTACCTCTCCATGCTGCATTATTCCATTAATATGTATTTATTTAAAGAGATTAAAAGATGCGCACAAGGTCTAAACCCATGCACAGTGTATACTCCTTGGCCCTCTGCTCTCCTTGAAATGAATGACCTTGCTCAGACTCTCAGCATCTGATGGAGCACGGCGTTTTCCTTGGTTGCCTGTAGTGGCGGAGGTGTTTTTCACGAGGCCCAAAAGCTTGGGAAGCATGTGATGTAGCCTCATGGGAGCCTCAGGAGTTCTCTGGGTGCCTGCTCCAGCGTGCCCAGCACAGCATCCTGCCGCAGCACAGACTCGCCTCAGCCGTGTTTCATATCGATACTCCTTGGCAGGGCAGCCTGGTTCTGCACCGATTCTTGTTCTGTTGCCTGGTCTTCCATAGCTGGGGTCCGGTCAGCAGGGCGACCCTGACCCTTGTGCATTTGTGTGGATCTGCTCTCTGTGGCCGGTGTGCTGTCTGCTCTTTCAAGAGACTCAGTTCTTCTTTACAGTGGTAATTAAAACCTTGCAGTGCCTCAGAACCAAGGAGAGTTTATACAAACTGTTCCATCTCTCAGCTTCACTTGTGTACACCTAGCTGTGCTGCGCATGCTGTCTGCTTTTCTTTATCTGCTGCAAACATAACTCTTTAAATAGCTTTAAATAGCTCCGCACAAATTATTCACACAGCATCCGAATCCACATCTGTTAAGGTTTTCAAAAATGCTACTCTCTGTTTTGTCAGCATTATATCACGCTCACTTCCTGCAGCGTAGTTGTGCACGAAGGGATGATACTCGGCACGCACAATAACCAGCGCGGTGCTGGGGGACCTCCGCACTAACCAGCCAGGGGCAGGGCTCCAGTGGCCACTCCAGAGAGGTGCCCGAGGCTGGACAGGTCTGAAAGAAGGAAGCAGGCTGCTCACAAGCAGGTTGACGATCTCTAGGCGTGCTTTGTGAGCAACTTGCAGAGCTGTGCCAGCCAGTCTCACCTGCCCACGTTGCGGGTGTGGTACTCTCGGCCTGGAGCGCCCCGGGCAGGAAGTGGCATGCAGTGAACCGCACGGCCTGCCTGCCTGCCGAGGAGCGAGGCCTCGCTCTGGTGAACCACACCGCCGAGGAGTTCCTGCCCAGGGCCCGGGCACTGCACCCTACCTGTTCTGTCACAGATACGCAGGCACAACAAACACACAGACGAGCTCTGCACGCACGACACTTCCTTCGCCAGCAAGCTCAGTATCGAGGCCAGGCTGAGAGGAGCCATGGCTGCAGCTTGCGGCCATGTCTCTGCACTAAATGCATGTACATCTACAGTAGCTCTGTAAGTGTTCGAGTGATGTGTATATATAAAAAGGCAGAGGTAGTTCAGGTAGCTGGATCAGCATTCATAGGCTGCAAAGGAACAAGTAATAGTTTTATTCAATGGTGAAATAAGGAAACACAACATTTCGGCTGTGGAGCCTTCTCACACCCGAAGAAGGCTCCACAGCCGAAACGTTGTGTTTGCTTTCTTCTCTTTTCAGCCTGGAATAAACCTATTGTTCCTGTATAAAATGACTGTCTCCTGCATGATTGCAAGTTGCTTGAATTGTGTCTGTTTTATCATTTTGTTTTTATCGTTCTGTACTACTGCCTGCTGCCCTTTGCACTATCACTATCATGCTATCACCCGTCCTACTGCTTTGTCCACCTGTGTGAGAACTGGTCACACCAGGCCACGTTGTTTTAATTTGCTTTGTAACAACGAGATAGATGCAAACACACTGCCTGGGCCCACAGGAGCACAGACTCTCTCTTCTTTTCCACCTCTCTGCAGTGACAGACCCCTCCCTTACACAGGTTAGGGCAAGGAATCTGAGCATATAAAACCCCTCAGCAGTTGATACTGGTCAATGCAGGAGGCTTGATTGCAGAGGTCTGCAGATGCACTGAAACCCAGCAGACATCCCGTCTGTCCCCTGCTCTTCCTCTCCCTTGTTCTCTAACAGTGTAGACCTGATCCTTGTCAGTCCTCGCCGGTCTCTCTCCTGCCTTCTGCAGCTTCCTAGCTCACATCTCCCCTCTCTCTCTCTCCCTCCCTTCCCCCTGGTCCAGACGGGCCGGTCTGCTTGCGCCGAGAAGTGGTCCTGCTGACAGATGACCGGAACCTGCGGGTGAAGGCGCTGACCCGGAACGTCCCGGTCCGCGACATCCCTGCCTTCCTCAAGTGGGCCAAAGTGGGATGAAACAAGATCGAGCGGGCCGGAGCACCGCCTGGGAGAAGTTAACGAAAACGCAAAAGAAGAATCTAAAATAAATAAAGCTTCCTCTGTACTCAACATCAAAAGATCAGAACACGTGAATGAGAGAGAAAGAGAGAGGTAGGAGGGTGAAAGACGTAGAGGAAGGGGGGAAGAGATACTGAATTATTTGTAGAAGGTGAGAAAGAGAAGAGGTTTAGCCAGGAGGAAATGTTTGAGAAGGGCGTTTAGTCTCAGAATTGCCAAAGTTTGGTCTTTCAGGGACAAACTGCATTTTAGCTGAGGAAGGGGGCTCACACTCAGCCAGGCTGGTGGTGTGATGAGGATGAGGGAGATGAAGGCTAGTCCGGGGCACCATAGCCACAGGACACAGGCTCTGACCAGCCACGGGACTGGCCAGAGAGAGGGAGTGCTGAGGGGAGGTGTTCTGTGGCTGACGTTACTTTTTGGGAAGATAGTGGAGAGGGACAGGGCAGACTGTCTGCTACTGTCTGTCAGTGAAAGCGTTTTTTATCGGCTAGATAGATTTGGTGGCTCGAACTTTATTTGTCTCTTTTTATTTTGCTTTTCGTTTGTTAGATTTTCTTTTGTTTCCTGCCGATTGACATTGCGCGTGCCTGCTGCCTTGTGAGGCTGGGAGGAGTCCTGGCCAGGAGGCCCCACTGAGGGACAGCTGTCCTTGCAGCCACACCCAGTCAGCCCCTCGGAGACAGAGGGGTCGGGCTCGCGGTGGGGCCAGCCTGCCTGGCTCAGAGGGGCTCTTTTGCGTAGAAAAAATCACCCACTACATTTCTTTACCGAATCCCGTTTCAGTAGGTCAGTTTCGTTCGGACGGTAACCTCACCCGCCTGGGGTTATTTTTCAAAGCGAACGTGTGAGAGAGGTTTAGGACACCCCAAGCGTGTCGCCATTCAGGCCACCCCAGCATTATCGGGCCGGGAGGTCTGCCTAGCATTGCGTCACAAGCATGCGCAGATTCGCTCCAGCCACTCGGCTGGCTCAGGTCGGTATCTGCGCTGTTTCGTTTGAAGTGCTGCAGATTTTAGTGATTAAGAAACACAAAGCCCTGACTCCAGGAGAGGGCAGGACTTGCTCCTGGCAAGACCTCGTCACTCCCTTGTGGTGATGTCACCCCCTTGCTTACACAGCCTGTAGGAAGTTCGTGATCTACTTCCCATTTCAGAAAAGAGTGATGTCGCTCAGGGTGACCATCCATCGCTCTGTGCACACCTTTCACGGACCGGGCATGTTTCTGTTTCTTAATACCTGCAGAGTTCAAAAAAGCAAACAACCAGCATGGGATCTCATTGCTGATGAGGAAATAGAGGACATAGTGTTCAGATCTGAAGGTTAATTTGAATTATTCGTCAGTAGACCTTGGGTGAAGACAATTCCGTACGAATATCAAAGTCTTGTAGAAATCGGGAGACAGCATTAGGTACAGACCCTTTTCAAAATATAGTAATGAGCAGAAACACAGCCTCTGGTCTGTATGGGCTCCTCTGTCGTGTTTGCACTTCATATTGGGGCAGTTGCAGGTCAGGAGAGTGAGGTGACAGTGCAGAGTAGCTCCGAGCGCAGGGCTAGTCAGGCCAGGGGACTGCTCGAAGAGGGACAGCTCTGAAGAGACGGCCCTGGCCCTGTGGGACCTCCTGTCCAGCGAGGGTGGGATGGCGAGTGAGAGAGCCACCCGCCTTTGTGCCAGCGCCTTCTTGCCTCGCTCAGGAGCCGTGCCGCCACAGAGCGGGCTGCCCCCACGTCCGTGCAGTGTCGTGGGGTTCTGGGTCTCCAGTGCACTCGGCCCAGAGCAGAACAGGACTCGGGACTCCTACTGGACAATATGGTACTTCTGTCCCTTTTTCTGAGTCGCAGTGGGCCATGAGGGACTGATAACAGCCCCACAGCAGGGGCTGTCGGACTGCTGAGGAGGTGGACCGCCACCCAGGAGGTGGAATTCAGCAGACTGCAGTTTTCCCAACGTCTCGATCCTGAGATCCTCTCCAACTTCCCGGCTCTGATGGCTGTGTCCGAGCTGCGCCTCGTCACCGGAATAATCCAGCCGCTGCCTGGGATGGGGGGCCACTGCATGTCCCCCTGAACTTTTCTGACATTCACCTTGGCTTCCACTTCTGTGTTTCCAGCTTTGAAACTCGCAGTGATGTGTGGACTGTGGCTTTTTTTTTTTTGGAGTGGGGAATCTTGTTTTTTTTTTTTGTTTGTATTGCATTTCTGTTCTGGATTTGTGAAGGGCTTGTGGCAGGAGGAAGATCCCCTGGTTGCTGGTTAGCTGTTGGCAGTGCGACAAGCCTGGGTATATAGTGAAATGAAGACTGGGTGACAGGGAGGCCTAGCTAGACAGGCAGCACTGAGGCAGGCCCTCCAGTTGACAAAGAGTCTAAACTGATAGCGGCATCATCCACCACCCCTCGTTTGTGTGAGAGTGTGCCTTTCTGGGGAGCATGGCCGCCCTGCCGTTGATCAACAGGGAGGACGGTCTGAACAGGGCCGCTGGCTGAGCTGGAGAGCGGGGAGACTTCCTGCGTGCTGAGCTCTCTGGGCACTCTGTGGTGCTCTGTCACAGCTAGTATAATGGCGCTAATTCATGGCCACCCTGACTTGACCCCTCTCCTGCCCTGCAAGACTGGCCGCGCAGTCGGGAGGCAGACCCCCCCCTCACCCTCACTCTGGAGGGTTCAGTGCCCTCGGTCGCAGCCACAGGAACAAAGCATGCCCTTATCTGCCTCTCTCCCCAGATACCCAGAGCCATCGTCGAAGAGCATTTCCGCCAAGTGTGCCACACATTTTTCACAAAAGGAATCTTCTAACATTGCAAGGTCAAATAGAAAGCGCAGTCTTACAGTGACTCCTTACAGCTTTGTCTGGATTTTTTCTAAGCAGCTAAAAACGCACAGGTTTCACGCCAAGTGTTTCAGAGTTTGTTAAGTACCGGGCAGTTGCAGGCGTTCAGTCTGTGCAGAGTAGAGGTGTCAGCGTGTTTTGTCCACCTACCTCTCTGCCCGCCTGTCTCACTGCCTGCCTCCCCACCATTACATCTCTGCAGGCACCTCTGCTCCCCGACACTGGATACCCAAGACCTTTGGCATTTGCTGGTCGTCCGTGTTTGCTGAGTGGCAGCAGGGCAGCGCGCCAGGTGGGTCAGGGAGGGCAGAGGCTCTGCTTTTTCTGAAATGGTCAGCAGTGTAGCTGGGCACAGCCTACCACCCTCGTGCCTCCCTGCCTGGCTGCCTGCCTAAGCCCAGCCCCTTCTCACTGGGCCCACGGGCAGGCAGACGTGACGAGAGGCTGGCAAAGAGTCGTGCTTCTGCTCATCCTGATACATACCAGCGCGTGTGCTAATGGCTGACAGATAATTGCAGGTTATCTAATTGTAGCTCAGAGGGAGCTGTAAGAGTCCAGGACGATGTGACGCTGTAGCCAGCGGGCCCTGGCTGAGGTGGGATGGGTGGTGCTGGAATCCTGATCTGGTCCGATCCAGCACCATGCTGGGAGCTTATCCTGCTGTGGGATTCTGTGAAGTTCTGTCGTGTGCATTGCATCACCCTGCCTCAGTTTTTAACAAAAACCCTTGATTTTAGTAATGGCTCTATGTAGTTTTAAATACTGGTTTCCCTTCTGTTGGAGGTTTTCTTTTAAATCCTGTAAAGTAGATTTGGTTCTGTGCATGTGAGATGTCCTGAGGTGTCCTGTGTGTGTTTCTTTATGGCCCCTCTGCATTGTGAAGTTATGTTTCCACATAGTGTGTCTGCATGGAGTGTGAGAGGATGCATCTTTCTGTGTAGTGTAAATGTGTATCCGTGGTGCGAGTGTGAAGTTGCTGCGTGGTGTGTGTATCTTTGGTGTGATAGTGAAGTTGCATTTTGCGTGTGTTTTCTTGTTGTATGTATCTGTGGTGCGAGTGTGAAGTTGCTGCGTGGTGTGTATATCTGTGGTGTGAAGTTGTGTTTTGTGTGTGTGGGTGATTTGTGTATCTGTGGTGCGAGTGTGGTGTTGCCACATGGTGTGTGTGTGTGTTTGTACGTGATGTGTGTTGCTGGTGCAAGTGTAATGTTGCTGCGTGATGTGACGAGGGGGTGTGTGTGTTTCTGTTGGCGTGCTGTGGTACAAGGGTGT